CAGACTGATAGTTGGGATACCAGCATGGGACTGATCCAGACACCAGGAACATGGGTTTCAGTGAGGAAACCTCGGAAATTTATGGGGCCTCCTGTAGTTGTTCAGTACTTATCCCTAGCATAGGTGTGGACTTTGGGAGCCCATTCCACATAGAGGAATACTCTCTGAGCCAAGACACACAGGGGGTGGGGTGGGCCTAGGCCCTATCTCAAAGGATCCGATAGACTCTGATAACACCCTATGGAAGGCCTCACCATCCAGGGGGAGCAGAAAGGATATGTGATAGGTGGGGTTTTAGTAGGGGGGAGGGGGAAGGGGAGGAGGGGAGGGAGAGGGAACTGGGATTGTCATGTAAAACAATCTTGTTTCTAACTCAAATAAAAAAAATCTGCAGAAAAAAGAAAAAAATGCTTAGTGTTCTGATTCTATGATCCCTCTCTCGATTGTTATCTGGGAAAGGTCTGTAAAATAAATTTCTCAGATCTTTGATTACTATTTGCTCATCATGTAGAGGAAAGACGGGCTAGTCACTGATTCTTTCCTTAGTACAAAATAAGCTGTTACTTTCCTAACTCCACTGAGAGTGGGCAACGCTGAATGTTTTTAAGTGTAATTATGATCTATCAAGCTTTGGTCCGCATTCCTGTATTATTTAAGGTTTCTGTTTTTGTGATAAAGATCATGACCAAAAGCAACTTATCTTACATTTCTATATCACAGTCTATCATCAAAGGAAGTCAGTGGAGGAACTCTAGGCAAGAACCCGGAGGCAGTGATTAAAGCAGGGGTAAAGGAGGGACACTTACTCAGCCTGATTTCTTGTACACCTCAGGATCATCTTCCCTGAAGTAACATCGCCCACAGTGGGTGGGCCCTCTCACACCAATAATTAATCAAGAAAATGCCAGACATATAGGTCTGGCATATAGGTCAATCTTATGGCAGCATTTTATCAATTGTGAGTCCCTTTTCCCAAATAACTTTGGCTTTTGGCAAGTTTATATAATACTAACCAACAAACTTTCTTTTTCTTTAATATTTTTGTTAACTCCTTGAGA